CTGTGGTGGTTGGTGACACATTTTATTAAGTGGAAATTATATATATATATTTCTGAAATCATTTCCGATGTTGGAGTAAGGGTTTCCCATGTCAATATTCCAGGGTCTAGTACGTCACCAGCCGTCACAAAACAGGTTTTAAAGATGTTGTAGTGATACAGCGTCTTTAAAATCTGTAAAATGGCGATACAGTAAGAGTTAGCTTAGTGGTTGCATATCTTTTGCGTGAAACGTTCCTAATGATTTACCTGACATATCCTCTAGCACGTAGCAAGATTGCCCTACTTTTTCTCGAACTCTGGCTTTCAGAAACGTTTTTGCTAACTTGCTGTTAAATTTCTCTGAAGCTTTACTCAAGGTGAAATTCCGACGCAAAACCTCCTGACCAATATTGAACGAGACCGGTCGAGAACGTAAATTGTATCTCTTGGAATTCCTTTCATATGCTTTTTGAATATTTCCAAGTACCGAATCTTTCACAAGGGCTAAGTTGTCATGTCTACTGGCTTCACTTTCAACTTTACCATCATTTATCATGTTGATATTTCGTAGTAACTCTTAGTCGTTTCCATGCGTTATCATGTTTTGACCGAATACAACAAAATACGGGGACTGGTTGGTGGTTTGATGGATAGAGTTCCTCAAAGCACAATTAATACTGCTCAAGTGCAGGTCCCACTCGCGCTGGTCATTCTTGATATACGCGCGGAGTGCGGCATTGATTGAGCGATTAACCCGCTCTGAGCTATTACTCTGTGGTGAATATATCGCCGTATAAGTATGCCCATATCTCTTAAGGAAACCTTCGAATTCGTGCGAACGAAACTGGCTACCGTTGTCGCTGACGATGAATTCAGGAACACCGAATGTATCGAACACCTGTTCTTTTAAGTAGTTAGTTATAGGTAACGTGGTAAACTTCTTCAATGGACATAAGAAGGTGAACTTCGACATGTGATCGAGCACAATTAAAATACCGATATGGCCGCTTTTAGATCGTGGATATGGCCCAATTAGATCTATGTAAAGCCTTTGAAAAACTCGTTCCGTTGGTGTGAAGCTCCCCATGGGAGGCCTTAGCACTTTGGTGGTGTGTTTAGTAGTCTTACAAATCTCACAACTTGAAACATAATCCCTAACTGAGCGGTAAATACCTGGCCAGTAGAAAAATCTTCTAATTCTCTCTACGGTTTTAGCGACTCCGCCATGAGCAGCTGTGTCCACGTTATGTGCGTTAAACAAAACTTCATCCCGCAATCCTTTTGGCACAACAAGCTTCCATGCGGCTTCTTGCTGATCTTCATTCCCACTGTAAAACTCGCAGCGATGATAAATATATTTATCCACCACCTTAAAGTCGGGAAAGCGATCTTCTTCGTTCTTTAGCTTTTCTCTTAGCTCAGAGTATTCTGCGGTGTCGAATTCGGGTGAGTTTAGGTCTATATCAGGAACATTTTCACAAGGTAACGTTAGCACATCTAAGTATTCGGTATTTACTCGAGACAGAGCGTCTGGCACTACATTCGTGGAACCTCTCCGATGCTCGATCGTAAAAACAAATGCTCGCAATTTAAGTGCCCAGCGCCAAGCGACCGCTGAGATCACTCTGCTTCATCAACCATCGAAGACTCGCATGATCCGTTATGATGCGAAATGCTTGTCCTTCGATGTAAGGTCTAAACTTCTTCACAGCTAAAACTGCGGCAAGTCATTCTTGTTCTGTCACGGAGTAATTCCGTTGCGCCTTGTTAAGTTGTTGGCTCATATACGCAATAGGAATTTCCTCTCCATTCTCATTAGTTTGGGCTAGCACCGCGCCTACACCACACTGACTCGCGTCACACTGTATCAGGAACGGTTTACTAAAATCAGGATTCGCTAATATAGGCGCAGAGGTAAGGCGCTGCTTTAGAAGCTCAAAAGCTCCCTGTGCTTCCTCAGTACACTGGAATTCACGACCTTTCTTCAGCAACTCCGTCAGCGGGTGAGTAATAGCAGCAAAGTTCGGTGGCGGATATCCTGTGATAGCTGAAATTTTATCTTGATCGGTCTGAAGGGTACCTCGTCCAACCTCATAACCTAAATAGCGGACTTGCTTCAGGCAAAACTTGGCTTTGGCGATGTTAATGGTCAATCCAGCTTTTTGGATATGCAACGCTACTTCTTGCAAAAGCTGGATATGGGAATCAAAGTCTTCTGATATCAGAAGGAGATCGTCGAGGTAGACAAAGACTCGTTCCCTGAGGTAGTAAGGGATAACCTTATCCATTAACCGACACATAGATTGAGGCGCATTGCACAGCCCGAAGGGCATTACTTTGAACTGATATAATGGTCTGTTGGGCACAGTAAAGGCCGTTTTTTTCCCGAGAAGAAAACTCTAGTGGGATTTGCCAAAATGCGTCTTTCAAATCCAAACTCGAAATAAACTCAGCTCGAGGTAACCTGCTTAATATACCTTCTATGTGCGGTAAAGGATAGGCATCCCTCACCGTCAAAGAGTTAACTTTGCGACTATCTAAGCATAGACGAACTTTTCCTGGCTTCCTAACCAAAACTACTGGCGAAGACCAGGGGCTATTAGACTCTTAGATTACTCCAAGAGCTATCATACGATCTATCTCTTGGCCCATTAGCCTTTCAATTGCCGGCGAAATAGGAAAATGACGTTGTTTGATCGGAGTTGCTCCGCCAACGTCGATAACATGCTCTACGAGTGAGTTTTTTCCCAGGCCCTTCTCTTCAAATGAAGGAAAGCATCGAACTGCAGATGCCAGCTTTTCTTTTTGGATCGCTGAGAGCTCATGAACATATTCATCCATTTCGGCTACATTCAGCTCATTCACAATATTTGGGGCAATTTGAAAACTTTTCCAGAAATTTACTCCTAACTTCACCTCTTGACTAAGGCTAGGAACGAGATAAAAGTCAATAGGGAACGTTTTGTCTTGATAGCGTACGTCTAACGTTACAATGCCGAGAACGTTTTGGTTCGAGCCATCTGCTGTACATAAATTTGTGTCAAGTTTCTTAATCTTCAGGTTTCGCGTAAGTATATCATTTGCCAATTTTGAACCTATGCAGCTAATCGAAGCTCCGGAGTCTAGTAACCCTAAAACATTTTCTCCTAATATTTCCACAGAAACATACGGCCGAATGTCGCCTGGTTTGCACAGCACTGTGGCTGATAAGCATTTCTGTTTTATTTTTACGTTTTCCCAATACGCTCTCGCGTGAACAGTCGTACGTGGTTTAGAAAATATTTTCTGTCGCTTCAATTCATACTCTTTTAAACGGCGTTGAAGTGGACGAATCGGGTGTACTGGTATATCTGATAGTGTCTTATTATTAATATTTTTAAGTATCTTCGTTGGAGGTTTTAATTCGAGGTCGGTTTGGCATGCCTGCTGGTGGTATTGTAGACACCCCTTAGTTTGTTTTCCGGATCATTACAATTCGGGCAGGTTGGTAAAAAGAAAGCAAGTAAACCACATCCATAGCAGAATACTCTACGAGGTTTAAGGCATTGCTTATAACTATGGCCAGGTAAATCGCAGTTCCAACATTTCTTCTCAATTGCTTCTACGCTTGACGCTTCCACTGGTTTAATCGAGTCAATTTCCGAACTTCCACTTCGATCGGCTCACAGTACTTCAGCTAGCTGTCGTTTTTGCGGTATTTGCGGTCTCGAAAGACTACTGTTAACTGTTTCGAAAAAATTTTCGCGTCGCCTACAGGCGCGCCTTAATGCCGTAATTGATGTTATATCTAAGTGAAGTAACTCCAAGCGTATATCCGGGGGCAAGTTACGAATAAGGGTTTCCACTAGCTCTTGTTCTGACATTGGTACTCTTAAACTATCACTCCAGGTCATAACAGCTTCTAAAAACTGTTCAAATATTTCTCCAAGTTTCTGTTTCCTATTTCGTATCATTTCCTTAATATCGTTATCTGTTCTAACATCCTTAAAATGGCTCTTTAACGCATCACATAAGTCGAACCAATCCAGAGCTGGCACTGACTGATGATATCTCCAATACCAGTTCTTTGCTTTCCCTTCGAAAAGTATGTGAGCGTTTTGACAAAGAGCATTGAAATTGCCTCGCAAAGACGACATGGTCAATGCGTTTATTCTATAAATAAATTCATCAACGGAAACTTTCTCTAATGATCCATCAAAGGTTAGCTTCCAGTTAATGATAATTTTAGAAATCAGGTGATAAATTGTGTAAGTTTTGGTTACCACGGGTATTATTGTCGTTGTTAGGAAGCTTTAAATGTACATGGTTATTTAGATTTTGTTGTTGCTGAGCTCCAGGAATTCGACTTTCGCTGATATTAGGCAAATCTAACAAATTTCGGGACGATTCTGGATCTTGCCTGACTCGTTCATTGGGGTTATTATTAAGGCTTAAATTCTGAAAATGAGTTTCTAAAGACTGAGACACTAACTGACTGACAATATCTGTAATTTCGCGTGTCATGTTAACTCGCTGACTTTGAGTTGTCTCTTCTATCATCTGCTGTATACGTTGTAAATCTTAGTTAGCTTGTCGCTGCTCGTCTCGGTTTTGTATGTAATTACGACCGCGACGCATATTAGCCGGTGAACGAGTATCGTCTTGTATAGACCTATCAGGTGGATTACTATTTGCAGCCCTAGATCGTGTCATACGACCTCCTGCGTTCGAGTTGTTATTTCTGGGTACTGCACCTTGAGAAGATGCATTCTCCATACCTGGTCGAAGTTCTTGTTCGGAAAAACTTCTCAGGGACTGAGAATCAATAGTTCTACGGCACAAAGGACAAGAATCGTGGTCGGTTAGCCATATCGTTGGACACGATCGGTGAAAACCGTG